TGGGCAAATTACTTTTTTTTTTTTAATTTGTCAGTGTGCTTGATAAATGGATCTTTATGCGGGGGAAAAAATCCATAAAACTTTTACTGTGCTTGTGTTATTGCCAAGGCAAGTGCACAGTGATTGTATTTTGGCCTGTAACTACTTGGCATAAACACGTTGAGCAAGAAATATCCAGTATGAACAAAACGCTGAGGTTCAAGCTGACAAAAACCTAGAAGCTTCTAATGGCTTAAAAACTTATAAATTATTTAAGTCCTTTAAAATGTGTTTACTGCTTTAACTTACACACTTTTTTTGTCTTTCTAAGCGTTTGTTAATTTAAACTTATCATCTAACCAGATGCAACTTCCACTTCATCTCCTTCAGAGGTAAAAATCCCTTCATAAATCTGAAGAAGCAGTTCTTGATTGCACAAAAAAAAAAAAAAAGGAGGAGAGCAAGGAGGCAAAACCACCTTATAATGCAGAGGTAAGTTAAGTGAACTTGATACTGGGTCGTGTGTTCTCTTCCACACCCCCACTTTAGAAGAAAGCCTTATGACTTCTGAGCTGACTCCTCTCCTCCTTTTCTTATGTTATGCTACTGAGAAAGGTAACCAAGGTTTTTTTAAGGAAAAAAAAAAACAAAACAAACCATGGCTAAATGACTTCTTTTTGTGGTAGTTGCCTGTCAGAAAGGTGGAGCATGTTAGATAAATCTGATTATTCTGTGACAGCTCACTAGGGGTCAGACTAAGATTAGTAAACATGACGGATGTTGAAGCGTAGCTCAGCTGGGGTTGCCTGCTCGGGAAATGAAACCCCTTATTGTATCACCCGTGTCGCTCCTCAAGTTCTGAAGCTAATTACAGAATCGTGAATGTTATTATTCCATTGCAGTCTGACAGCCAAGAATGTAAGATGCTCAACACAGTGGTCCTGTATTTGTCTTTAAAGTGGGGCAGGGTCTGGGGTTTGTATACGGACGTTCATTTGATGCTGTGAACGTTGATCAGGATGGCATGTTCCTCTTGAGCAACGGCTGAGTTGCTGGCAAGGCTGTATGGAGTTGAAAAGAGAGGGCTGAAGCAGCACGCAAGGGAATTAGACAAAATCCTCTCTAACCCAAGAAAGCCAGTGACAGCCACCAGGAAGGATTATCAGATATTCCCGTTCTGCCCTTTGCTATTCCCTCCATAGAGGGCTGACGTAACGAGCACCCTCCTGCTGCCACTTGCTCTTCATGTGAAGGTGCTTGCAATGGTCTGACGAGGGCCTTTGGCCACTTCAGGAGTTCCTGCTTCCCCCTGTACCCAGACTGGTCTCCTCACTTCTCCTAATGCAGCTGGAGGTAGTTATTGAGCCCATTGACAGCGTGGCCTTGCAAACCATCTCAGAAGCACAAAGGGGAGCAGTGATAATGTTGGGAATAGAGTATCTGAGGCTCTGCATATTTCAGTTTTTGTATGTGTGTATCTATGTATAGAGATACACACAAGTGCATACATACACAGATTTCATATTCTAAAAAGACTTAGGTAGAGCAGGCAGAGAAGACAAAGTGCTCTTGTTGAGGAGGAACTAAGCCTGCAGTTCTACGTATGTGTTCTTCAGAGGTGGTGCTGATTTCTGCATGACAACATGTCTTTTCCTTGACCCTTCTGCACAACCATTTCTGAGAAGCAGGGCAATAACCATGCTGGTTACCAAACCTGTTCAGGAGGCTTCCAGTATTTCAAAGGAAATAATTGTGAAGCTAAATGTAAAGGCAGATTCAAATCTTGCTCCATGAAACAGAATTTGGAACTTCTTGTACCAAATTCGAACAATGCAGCCAAAAGACTCAACATTTTTAATGGATACAGAGTCATCACTTTACCAGGACTGTTCAAAATATTTTGAAAGAGTAGCAACTGTACAGGACATTTGTTGGAACTGGATGAGATATTTTTTGTCTGCTCAGTTGAGCTGTACAATATGCCTTCCAAATACAGGGAGTCAACTTAGGTCCTCAGGGCCCTTGAACAGTGTTGGACGCAGAAGGCCACTTCCCTTTTTAAGGGCTGACTACTGATTTCATAGATGCTCCATCAGGAAGCAGTTCTTACAAGTCTACAGGGAGGAAAGACTGTTTGATTAAGGGAAACATAAATTTTAAATATGTTTGGGAACTTTGGAAGTTGGGAATTCATGACCAGTCAGCTTTCTTCTACCGCTGTCTTCAGAATTTCCTTTTCATCTATGACTGGTGAGGCCCTCTGACCTGCTGAGCATCAACTTTTCCTGTACATCGCCTTGCTGAGCTTTAGGAAAGGCAATTTTCTGTTGTCAAAGTAGTCAGCACCTGCTGCTAACCTCCCCACATTTGTAACTGACCCAAATCCTCAGTGACACTGCACCAAAAATTCCTATGTATTCCTCCAAATTCTGTATGCAACCCCTTAACTTCACTGAGCTGATCACTGGTACCACAGTAGGGCCAGCAGAACGTGTCTCTTTGCTCATGGGATGACAGATAGGATCAATGTAGGTCTACTGGATTTTTAACTGCAGCAGCAGATGCTTTAAGAGCACGCTTGAAAAATTTCTTTAGACTGGGCATTCAGGTTGGACAGGTTTTGTATGTACCTGTACTGTTTTCACACACACCTGCTGTAGAATTGGTCAGAGTAACTAAACAAAGGAGGAAGGTTCATTAGCAGTTACTCCATCAGTTATTTGCATCACATGGATTAACTTTAAAAAAAAAAAACAAACAAACAATGTAGTAACAAAGGCTCCTGTGTTAAAGAAAATCCTAAAATGAGAAGCAGTACGTAGAACGAAGCTGTGGATCACAGGCCTATGATTAGAGCCAGCAGGGTTTGTGAAAGTAGCAGACAATTAGTGGAAATCTCAAAGGCCTTGTACAATCATCAGGGCTTTGATGGAAATATTAAGCCCTACAGTATGTCCAGATGTTGGCCTGGGCACCCCAAAAAAGCCTCATGCAGCTTCGATCTGTGACAGTGGCAAGCTGATACCCAATCCTACTACACTAGTATAAACAGGATAGGGGGACTTGAGAAATAAGGAATAAAAGGACAGTTACATTTTGAATCTGAAGTCTGTCAAGGTATGCTAACACACGCATACCAGCAGTGACCTAGGTCAAGAAATGTACTGCTGGCAGAAAGGGCTGAGTTAAGACACGCTTCTGAGTTTGTGCTGCCACTCCTGCTGTCACAGGCCACTTGGCTCTGTCATCTTAGAGTTATAGCTGCAGAAACGAGACTGCCAAAAGGTCTTCCTACGGGGAATTTACTGATCTCTACAACTCTTCCCTAATCCTATGCAACAATGAACTCATTGCAAGACTTGAGTGTAAAATGACAAGAGGTCTGAAAATCTCAGAACTCCACTGGTTCGGTTATTTTTTTCCTTTCTCAAGCTCAAAATCTTGGGATCTACCTAAAACGTTACTGATTTTTATGAAAATTAGCACAGTGAACAGCTGGGTTTGGGAACTAACCCTCTCCATACTGAGCAAATAAGGAGACTCAAGTCTGGGCTCCTGGATTTCCCTTTCCTTTCCCATGCTTCTTTCCCGCACTGCTTTTCAGTGAAGGTGAGGAGAATGGCTGCAGTCTAAAAGACAGTGGGTGTTACCAGAGCTTTCCAGCGAATTATTTCATTCATTCCATAAAATCTAAATCTGTAATGGATAGTCACTTCAATGTATTGTACTTTTTAACTTTGAATCCAGTCATTTTTTTGCTGTGAGCAGGCTGCCTGCTATAACAAACAGCAGCCTTCCAATTTATACTCTTAATTTACTATTCCCTTTTTCCTTTCCCTTCTATACCGGACACACGCTGGGCTACTGCCATGGTGGTGACCCACTGATCAATGGTTTTGTCTTCTGTCAAACAGTGGGCACAAAGGTCCAGCAAAGCAGCCAGGCAGGCTGTTAGGAGTACAGATCTGCAGGCAGCTGACCTGACTCTAACAGCTCCTACCCTTGGCTGGGTAGTCATCACTTTTCTCCCCTGCCCAGTAATCACTCCGGCCCAGCATTAGGCCCTTCCAAGAGCTGTTTTAATAAATTAAAATAGCAGGAAACAATTCCACCCTTTTCGTGTGTGCTGGGGTTTTTTCCTGCAACTTTAGCGACTCGAAGTGAGTCAGCGTATCTGATGAGCAATCACGCTGGCGTGAGTTTAGCAGGGGAAATAACACAGCCAGGTCCAGAGAAAGACTAGAAACCCTCCTTTTCAGGTGAGGTGAGCTGTTAAACCTGCACGCTCTGCCTCATAGAACTACACGGCAGCTGGCTGCGTGGTACCCAGTAACTCAGCCGTGTGCTCCAGTCTCATGCGCTGGATGCCATGAAGAGGCATTTTCATCCCGGCACTGTGGCCGGATGGCCCCAACGTTCAGGTGTCAGGATCACAGTGTGCGTACGTACGTGTGTGCATGAAGCAAAACGGTCAGTTTGTGTTTGTTCCTGTGTTTCTGCAGCTGGCATAAATGAATCTGCAGGACAATCAGTTCTGGGTGCTTCTCTTGAACCTTATATAGTGACTTACAAAGGCACCAGTCAGTCTTGAAAAGAATCTCCAGTGCTGAACTTGTCTTGCCAGTGCAGGTTTGGTGTTCCCCAGAGGGTAAAGGTACAGCTCAATGCACAGCTTTGGTCCACCTCTCTGCTAAACTGAGATGGTGGCAGGAGGAATACGTGAGCGGGGAGGGGGAGAAAACATCAAATGAAAGAGTTTTGTTCTGCTTTTGGAAGGGGACCAAGATGTGGTGGAAGTGGGGAGGAATCAAAACAGTGGAGGAGAA